CATCTGCCAGTCGGTGTGTCTGTGTGTGTGTGTGGGGGGGGGGGGGGGGGTGGGGGGGGGGGGGGGGTTCAGGCGGCTGCGCTCGCGGGCCGGCGCATACGCCGCCCCCGACCAAGGTGGCGGGCACACGGCCGGGGGGACCGTGTGCCCGGGCGCCGGCCCGCAGAGGCGCCGGACTAGCGGGAGTGGCGGCGGCGGCGGCGGCGGCGCCGGGGGGACCGGCCGGCCGCGCCCGCCCGGCAGGCGCAAACACACCCGAGTGTGCCGGGCTACCCGTTCGGGGGATCGGGGCACGTGACTCGGGCGGACCCCGCGCGGGAGCCATTTCCGCGGATGGTGTCCTCAGGGGTGGGCGGGCGCCGGCGAGGGGGGGAAAAGAAGCCCCCTCCCGTTCGGGGACAATCTCTCGGAGGCGCTCGGGCCATTGGGCAAGGGGGGGCGTATATTAGTACGGGATGAGGGAGGGCCAGCCGGTTATGGCGAGTGTATATTACTCCGGGGGTGCGGGGCTCCGGCCGTGTGTTTCTCTGGTCGGCCCCCACGCGTGGGCGTGTGTGTGCGGCGGGGCCCGCGCTTTCCGGGGGGCGGGGGGCGCCGGCCGGGCGATCGCGAACCCTTGTTATGCATTTGCCCCGGTGTGTGATCGGCCGCGTGCGCGCGGCAGGCAGATGCCCCCCCCTCCTCGAGGGCGCCGGTGGCGGACGAATAGGGGCCCGGCGAGGAGCAGGGCGATCCCCGGGTTGGCGCGTGTGATGGGGAGCGGCCGGCCCGGGGGTGTGGGCCTCGGGTCGGGGCCCTCGAAAGAAGGCCCCCCGGGCCGGGCCGCGGATGGGCCATTCGCTCGGCGCTCACGAACCCGGGAGGCGGGAGGCAACTCGACTGCCGGCCGGTTGGCCTTGCTGCCGGCAGGCGGCCCGAGCGCGGCGGCGGCGGCGGCGGCTCGGCCGCCGGGGGGGGGGATCACCCCGGGGGCGAGTCATTTTGTGGGCGACGCCGCTGGAATATCCGCCAGGGGTTGGGGCGACCGGGGGCCGCGAGGGTTCGCCTTTCGGCGGCGGTCCTCCCGCGGCGGGGAGGGCGCGGACCCGGCTGCGGACTTTTCCAGAGCGCCTCCCGGGGGGGGGGGGGGAGCCCGCGAGCGAGCGACCGAGCGAGCGGGGGGCGAAGATCCTCCTCGGCGTCCGGGCCCGGGTTGCCGCGCTCGGACACCGTGTTTGAGCGGGCCCCGGGCCTCGCCAGGCGACATCCTCCGCCCCCCGTCGCCTGGCCGCCGGAACCCCCCCTCTCAAGGTGCGCCCCTCGTGTGGGATCCGCCGGACGGGGGCGCTGCGACTCCCGGCGAGGCGATGGCCGCGCGAAAACGGGTCCCCGCGCGCTCCTGCCCCGGGGGCTCGGCTCGGCCCGGCCGGCGCCGGGCCATGGCGGCCCGGGCGTGCATTTTTTTGAGCAGGCATCCATCCCGCACCGCCACATCCTCGGGCCCGGACCTTCGGCGCACGGGTCGCACCCGCCGGCCGCTCCCCCCCGCCCCGGGTGCGCGCACATCGGCGCGGGCGCACGGCGATGCCCGCCGCCCAGGCAACATATGAGCCCCCGGGCTGCGCCCGCACGCCAGCCATGGAGAGCCATCTCAAGTGGCAGCAGCAATCGAGGCCGCGGCGGGATATCGTGCTCAGAGGAGCCGCCAGGCTTGGCCCGGCTCGCATGAGTGGCCACCGGCCGGGGGCGTGGAGACCGAGCGGCAGCCGGGGGAGCACCACACGCGCAGGCACGGCAATCGTCGCAGCGCGCCTCGACATGCGGCCGCGGGGGCGACGGCCACGGCAGGCGGGTCAGCCGGCCGCAGGGCCGGCGGGAGGCCCCGCGGAGCGTGCGGCGCCGTCCGCCAGCATGCGAGCGTGCCTGCTCGCGCGGCATCGGCGCGGTCCTGCGGCCTGCGAGTGCCATGCTGGCGGGCAGACAGCCCTCCTCGCGTCCGCGCCCCCGGGCAGCCCGCCTCCCGCGCGGCGGGCCGACCGCCCCGGCATGGCGCGGCCGCAGCTCGCCGAAGGGCCCGGGCTGCCGCCGCACCCCCAGCGCCGGGGCGTCTCCGGGTCACCACCGCCCCGGGCCGCTCGCCCGGCCCACGCAAGCGGCCCCGGCCCCCCGGCGGCCGCGCAGCGCCGATGCCGGCCTCGCCACGGGTCGCTCGAACCAGAACCAAGGGCGCTCCCTGGCCCCGGGTCGATGTGGGCATGTGTGTCGCACGTGACATGCTTTGCGCGCGTGTGCCCGCCCCTCCCGTTCGCCCTCCGACGGTGCCGCCTCGCCGCTTCTGCGCCCCTTGTCCCCGACACTCTGCATGGGCCATGCCTGTGGCCTTGCAGGGTGCCGGGCCCCAGGCGCACACCCCTGTGCACTTGCCTCCCCTAAGTCGAGCCTCCGATGTTCCGCCGGAGGCTCGGTCCCGCCTCCTCCCCGGGCTGGCGACCGATCGGCGTCCGGATCTGTTCCCGGGCAGGGCACCACCGACGCCGATGCCGGGTGGGCGTGGAGGGTGCCACCCGAACGCGATATGATGCACTGCCGGGAGCCCCGGGCGCCGCGCACTCAACAGATGGGCGGGGGGGGGCCGATCAACTGCCCTGGACCTGGCGGGCGGCCGCCCCTCTCTGCCCCTCGCCGCGAGGAAGGGGCCCCGGTGGCCATCCTCCCCGGGAGGCAGCCTGCTGGCACCAAGTACACGCCGTCGCGCGAGCGGAAGCACCCCCATACGCCTGGCGGTCTGGTGCCGGGGGGGGGGGGGCGCGTGCCGATGGCCGGACGATCCCGGCCGCGTGCCTGCACGCCGGGCAAATGCCCCGGCTGCCAGCATGACCCCGGGCCGGCCCACCACTTTGGTCGGACATTTGGCCCCACTCCGGGGAGGTGCCGAGGAAAAAAAAACCCCCCCCAGCCGATGGCAAGGGCGCCAGGGCACGGGAGGCAGGCCAAGGAGCCTGCCGCCCGGCGAGCAGGCACCGTGTCTCGGGTCGGTGGCATGCGCTGCGGCAGGCGTGCGTCCGCTGCGGCAATCCCGGCCATGTGTCCCATGAGCAGGCTCAAGCCCGGGCCGCCAAATCCCTCGGCAGCCGGTGACGCACCACGCCCGGCGGCTCCCTGAGACCAGAGGGACATGCCCTTTTGCAGGCCCCCCCCCCGAAGAGGGGACAGATCCCCACATGGAGTGGGGCCCGGCGAGGGCCTCCTGGGGAGCAGCCTCGGTCGGGGGATTGTCCAAGGCGCCGGGGAATCCACACAGCATGGCCTGCCTCGTGGCCGGAGGGTGGCGCCCATGCCGGCCCACGCGCGCGCGCGCGCGCGCGCCAGAGGAAGGGATAGCGAGGGGGACAAGCACGAGAGAGGCACGGGGGCGAGACAATCAGGGGCAGGGGAGGCAGCTCACATCGAAGGGGGGCGACGGTGGGCCGGACACGGCCAGACCAGGGGCATGCCGAGCGTGGCCACGCTGCTATGGGTTAATACCTCAACAGCAACGTGTCGTTCCCTCCTCCCCTTCTTTTCTTTCCTCCTTCCCCCCTCGTTCCGCGCTGCTTTCGCCCCCGGGGTCCTCGCACTTTCTGGCGGCCCGGCGCAATCCTTTCCGCACAAAAGGCACCCTGCCGGCGGCCACCGGCCAGTGGATCCTGCCACAGGAGGCACCCGTGGCCGGCCTCTCCCCCTTGGGAACAGCCTCCAGGCCTGGCAGGGCCATCACACTCGAGGGAGCCACCACCGGCGCCCGGGCGGCCGCTGGCCAGGCTACCGGCTGAGACATGGCTCGCACGGTGTCGACCTGCGCTCGGAGCATAGTCCTGCCAACGAGCGCCGCCGGGGATGGGGAGCCCCCTGGACCGGCGAAAGGAAACCTCGGCTCGCGGTCCCGTGCCGGCGCCCGGTGGCCGCGCCCTGGCTATATGCCCCCCCCCCTCCTCCTGGCAACGGGAGAGCCTGGCACGAGTGCCAGCCTGAGCAGGCGTGCGATCCGTGCAGCCTCGTATGGACACGGCACACGGCTCCGGGCATCTGGCTGCCATGGACCAGCGCACACGCACGGGGCCCGCCGGGCGAAAGGCCGGGCACGACCTCGTCCGGCGTCGGGTCTCCCGCGGGCAACATGCCGGCTCCTGTCGTTTGCACATGGGCATACATCGGCCTGAAAGAGGACACACACACACAAAACCAAGCAAACAGGGGTCAAGGAGGCATTGCTATTGAGCTTGCCAGGTCTGCCGGAAAGGGGCAAATGGCAGAGCAGCGCTGGGAACCCACGGCCAGGTGAAGCGAGGGCCTTACCTGCGCGGGGAGGAATCCCTTCGGGGGGGGGGAGGGGGGGGGGCTGGCCGCATGATGGAGGGCGAATCACAGTCCGGCTGTGGGATGAAGGTCGGGCCTCTTCTCTGCGGTCACAGCCGGTGGCCATCAATCTGCGATGGCGGAAAGGGTGGCGGCAGACAAGAGCCAAGGAAAAGGGGGGGTGGGGCGACAAAAAAAAAGGCAGCACAGCCGATTCCACGGGTCAGTAAGGTGCACGGGGGCGCAAAGCACCACAGGACAAGGAGTGGGGCCAGGCCCGATGGGCACGTACCAATGACATTGTCGAAGTTGCTCATGTCCACATTCTCCGGGGCGGTCTTCTTCTTCCGGCGACGACGAAGCAGCACAAACACCACGAGGGCAATGAGCAGCAGCAGGAACAGCAGGCTGAGGCCCACCCCGAGCCCGATGGCCAGGGCCCGGTTGCGCTCGGCCTCGCACGTGTCCTCCATCTCGCACCAGGTAGCCTGGCAGTCGGCCGGCTCCGGTCCGGTGCACGTGTGGCAGTCCGCCGCGCACTCGGCGCACTCGCCCAGCTGGGCGAACAGCCCGGCCGGGCAGGCGGACACGCAGGACAGGGCCCC